AAACCAGTTCTTGGAGATGCTCATCCCTTTCTTCAACGTAGCCTTAATGATACATTCCTAAACCTTCCTGATGTGACTAAGTAGTTTGTTGCCTTTGTAATCATTGCAACTTTCAAACTTTGGATATCACCTTTGCCCTTGCACAACAGGATCACTACATCTTAATCGTATTAAAAATACTACGTAGCAATTAAGAGCTTCGTAACTCACACCAACCTGTTGATGTCCACAATCTTCCAGAACTTCACTGAAAACTTATTTGTTGCCATGGCTCATCCCCCTCTCATCCAGTGACTCTCACCACCTCATCGTGACTAATGTGTCAATATTATCCAACATTCTGATGCCTCTCACACTGCCTTAACTCTCTTAGAACCTTGCTCCTATCCTCTCTTGCATTCAAAAATTGATGAAAGTAAGCCCCCCATCGCTTCCTCGCCTCCACTGCATCCTACAAAACCTTGCTACCTTCATCTTTCACACATCTCACATGTTCCATATCTCGTTCCTTCTCCTAACGTGTCTTTGACAGTTGAAACAATCTTTTCTTGCCTCCTCCTTCCAGGTCCGTATACAGACATTCAAAAGTTGCATTCATAGCCATTGTAACTTCCAAGTTCCAATATAGCTTCCTTACAAGCAATGTTATACTCATGTCTTAGCGACTCATTAACTTCCTCATCTCTACACTCCATGAACCTCTTATAAGCTATTTTTTTAGCTTCCACTTTCTATTGAACTGCATTATTCCACCATCAGGCCTAATATACTGGCTCCATTACCTTTCACTATGCATAACACCTCCCGAGCAATTTCTCTGATGTGTTGCAAGATTATTACTCTGAATTAGTTTTGCATCCTTGTAGAGCACCCTGTCACACCTACACAGAAGGAAGCAATGATCTACGATCTCCCCACACGACTGTAGAAAGTTACCAAGTGTTCTTTCCGCTTAAGATGAAATAGTTAGCAATCATCAGGTCTTGCAAGTTCCAAGAGTGAAACCCCTTCAAGTTCTTTCCTCCAAAGCCAAACGCTCTGTGCACCTCTTCAAAACCTTCAGCAGCACCCTCGATGTGACCATTAAAATCACCTGGGATGATTTTTTTGTTTGCGGGATACAGGATACTCCTACCGTTCCATCCAATGCCTCTCAAAAATCCCTCGTAACTTCATCATTCAAGCCTGCTTAGAGTGCATATGCACTCACGATGTTTCTAATGCACTCACCCAACACTATAACCTATCAACCGATAGGTGATCACTAACCCTCATCACTTGGTCCACGAACTCCTAAAGATCCTTGGCAAGACGGCGACCAAAATGCCAGCCCCTAATCTAGGTTTTCGAAGTGCCAGAATTCGCCAACTTGAATCTGTCCACATCACATTTCTCTTGCACGCATGTCACATGAATACTCCTCTTCTTAAGGACTTTCATCTACTCCAATAAATTTACGAGGGTCTTTATGTTCCACTACCGAAACCTCAAAGTTGACCCTTCTCTACCCCTCCGCACTTTCTCAACCCCCAAAAATACAACCTTACACCATTATTCCTAACCAAAGTCACCCTACATGCACCATTATTCATATATGAGGTTCGGCATTCAAGGCCAACACACCCTACATGCACACAACACACCATAAAAGGAAGAGCACAGGAAAAATCCACCTAGCACTAGCCAAAAGTATTGGAGAAAGACCGCAACGGAAAAACTAGCTCAACAACAGACACAAGCAAGCAAGGCACCAACAAAACTACAAAAGTGTATTGAAAAGCAACTTATTAACAGTAAAAAGTAATAATGAAGAGATATACAACCTAATTTGAGAGGTGGAGGCTGTAGAGCCTGCTGTAGTGTGGAACAAACTTTTGCTGCTACTCTTGATTTGAGTAACCTCTTGTTCTCATCAAGAGTTGATAAAAATTATCACAACTATCATCAGTATGCTCTAAATAATTCCAACTATCAGTATTTTCAAAACTATCCTAACTATGAATTCAACTTTCCAAGATATTGTCTTGACTTATTCTAACAGGTTAATTTAGTTGTGTTCAGAATTTTTTAAGGAGGATATTTAGAATTTATCAGATCATTTTGGATCATATTTAATTATACGTCCATCTTATGAAAAAAGTCAGATTCATATACTTTTTTGTCTCAAAAGGGTTTTGATTTAAATTAAAGAAGCTAAATATAACTTTCGTAATTGTTTTTAATGAAAAAAATAAAAATGTCCTAATTAATTTGAATGTGTAAAATTTAGTGAAATTGAATTAATTGTTTTGATTATTCCTTATTCATCTATCTCAAAAAAAGTTCCACTTTCCATTTATGGAATATTTATTTTGGCTCATATCATTTCTCTCTCCTATGCACCAGTCACAAGCACACAATTCCACCTTTTTAAAATAACAATTGCACTATCATTTAAAGTTTTGATGGTACCAAGAGGTTTCCCCCAACTTAAATACCTAAATAACTATTTGATAAAAACTTTGAGCAATACTGCAACGTTCATCAATCTGCATCTTTTCAGGTCATTAAATCTTCGGTGGAAGAAGGTATACGAGAAGGAAGAATGCTACTCCATGACTGGCTAGTAATTCTTACAGCTCAGTACAATGAAGCTTGCAAACTCTCAGAGTCTGGACGTGGGAGTTCAAACATGGCTCATATCGATGTTTCTTTCTCCCAATGCCCACAGTTGCAGCATCTCCCTCGCTTAGTTTTTGCTCTCTTACGAAACCCTCTTCTCCGCTTACACGAAGAAGGTGTACATCCAGACTATAGAATATACCTCCAGTGTCTGTTCAGGTACCCTTTTATATACAAAAATCATTCCAACTTCAACTTGTATCTTGAAAAGACTTGTATGTGTAGTGTTAAGCTTTATGCAAAACATAGTCCATGGGTCAATGATCTTGTTACTTTGTTGGTTAAAACATTTAGACTATATCTATTTAGAAACATGTAAGTATTGATCTGTAATTCTGTATCATGCATATGTGTAGGTTGATAATATGGAGTAATTAAGAGAAAAACCTCATTCTGTATTTGAATTTTAGCCAAACCTTGTAAAATTTGCAAATTATAACTTGCAATCAGGGTCAACCTTTTGAGCTAAAAGATTGAATAGCAATTGATAATGTGGACTAGTGACTTGGCCACCATGTTACTGGGAATTGGTAGCATTTGATGAATGCATATCCCTAAAAAAAATCCTCTTGATCACCACACACACACAACATCAACAACAACCCTTACAAGGACTCTACAACCCTAATACGTTGTCTCGATAAAAACTAAATGTGCTATTAATCCTCATATTATTTATCAAGTTGTATTAATTGTTTGCAAACTAACTTCTTCTGATGCAGTGCATTAGAACCTTCTTCTCTTCACCTGGCTATATATCCACTGCTGTCCTCATTTGCATCGCCTGATAAACAAGCTTACCCTCGCCACTCCCTGAGCCGTGCTGCATTGATAACCAGCGGCAGCCCCATATTTTTCCTCGATGCTTTCACAGTTCTCATCGTCTACTATTCATCTACAGCTGACCCTTCACTCCCTTTTCCTCCGCCTCAGGACTGTAAGATCCTAAAAAGTCTTTTGTCCTAATTTCATTGGAAATCTTTGTTCTTAATTTAATTCTGACAGATTTGCCCTTCCCCTCAGGTTTACTGAGAACAATAATAAACAAGCGGAAGCAGGAGCGATGCATCACCCCGAAACTAATATTCATGAGAGCGGGTCAGGACGATGCAACACTATTTGAGAACTTCCTTATAGAGGAACAAGATGTAGAAGGGAATGGGTTCACGAGCATCATGGGCTTTGTGTCCTTCCTTGAAGAAATCCATCAGGGTGTGTTAGAGTACATGAAATGAAGTGATGCAAAGTCGGAGAAAGGATATACGTTTTGCTTTTGAGTGGTGAGTATCAGCAAGTGCAAGTTATATTGTTAGTTGTTGAAATTTTCTTTTTCTTCCTGTTCCAAGTGGTGTGTGTAGTAGACTTGATAGTACTTTGTGCCTCAACTTTCTGTCATACCCATCTTTTAATTTGACATCTATAGTATTACAACTTTACAAAAACCTTTTCTTTGTTGGGAGTTGAAGGGAAAACACATTTTAAAAAGGGAGTTTTCCCCCACCCGTCGTACTGGGTATTTTTGAGAGTATTACTTCTGGCTACAATCGATAAACAGGTCTCTGTCAAGCGACATATATCGGTCTCCAACGGGCTACCAACATTGTCGACACTAGTCACCCTCCCACGGTTGGTGTTAGTCAACCTTCAGTGGACTTGTTTCTAGTCATCTCTATATAGCTTTGTGACTAAAGCATGTTGAATATGCACTCTACTTGAAAACTGCATTCAATTTTTACAGTAATTACTAAAACCTGTTTAGCAGCAAATATATGCTTCCTCTTAAAAATGAACTGTACGGTTAAACACTTTGGTGTTAGAAAGTACTCAAAAAATTGCTGCCAGGTACCCCTCATTTTGGGATAAAGACTCGCAGGTCCCATTTTTTAAAAAAAATTACTCGTGGGGATTTAAAATATGATGTTTGTGACTGAGGAGGGAACTTCCGTCCATTGCACCGTTTCCTACCTGATTTGACTATTATACCCCTCGTTATTACCCAAAAAAGACAGACAACTTCCAGCGTTTCTCATTCTTCTTCGTAAGAAAGGAAGATTCGCTTCCTCTTTTGGCTTCCTGTCAAGATTGGCTTTCTTGGTGTCAATGGTACGTTTTTGGATCGATTCTACTGATGTTTTTTCAAATATCTCGGGTTTATCATATTTCTTTTGGATTTTACTTAACAATATGAATCTAGGGTTTTTTAATTTCAATTTAATTCTACTGAACATGAATGAAGGGTTTCGGTTATCAACCTTGTATTGTTATATCAAAGTCCTAATTGTTTTATAATTATTCTTATGAGTTTATAAATCTATATACTTAGCATATGATGTTATATACTTTAGGCTCCAACGGGATTTAGGGTGTATGTGAAAGATAAATGCATTGTGATTGAAGATATTGATTTGGATATTTACTTCACCAAAGATTTGTTCGAGGATGTCATTTCCAAAGCCAAAGAACAGAATATAAGTCTTCCTAGGTTTGTTGGTTTTAGATATCATCTTCCTTGGAAAGAAATTCAGAAAGAGGCACTAGCTTCTGATAGAGATTGGATTAAGATGGTTGAGGTTTGGGGGGGAGTTCCTTGTAATTTCATTCCCTTATTTGTAGTTGAGTTAGAAGAGCCTAGTGCATTACAAAAAATGGCAGAGGAACTTCATGTTACTGCCCAAACTTTTAAGGACCCAAGCAGTAGTGATGCTGAGCTTTGGGCTGACAATTTGCTTGTGACACCAACAAATTATAGTCAGACTTTTGAAAGTGAAGATCATGGGGGTAATAAATCTAAATTAAATGTGAGAAGGCAAATGAGCAGGACATTTGAAGTGTTGCTCCAACCATCTGTTTTAGACCCCCCTCAGGTTCCATCCATTACTATTTCCTCTCCACACCTCTCACCCACAAGTACAGAACCTAATACAATGATTAGAGAGGCGGTTGAGAATGATGGCAGTTCTAAAAAGAAGAAAAAGAAGCTTGTGGGGGGAGGTAGTAAAGTACTTGAGAGGACTGAGTTGAATGTCAAACTTTTGGGTAAAGAACTAAACGGTTTAGAAGCTTATGACATTCCTGCCTTGAGCAACCCCCAAGTTCCTCCCCATGTTCCTCCCCTAGATCTTTTTTTTGAGGAACCTGTGCTCCCTTCTCAGGGGGTAATTGATGATGATAAAGCTTCATCTGAAGATGAAGAAGAAGACTGTGATTTTACAGGGAGTGAGGAGGAGTGTTTGAGTAGTGAGGCAGTTTCCTTGGATGAAGAGTCAGAAATGGAGGATGAGTTTGATCTTGATGCTGTCACTGCCCATAAAATGATGCTGGGTAATGAGGAAGAAAATGAAGATGGGAGTGGCAATCAGTCTATTCTTGAGAAAATGGCTAAGGTGTTTATGACTGGAAGGCTATGGGTGAGAAGTGCTCATGGAAAAGTTGAGCTAAAGCAAGGTGACATATTCAGTTGCAAAAAAGATTTTCTTAGGGTCATGAAGGACTATGTTATTCAAAAGGGAATTTCTCTTAGAAAAATAAAAAATGACAAGAGAAGATACACTCAAGTATGTATGAATAAGGACTGCAAATTTAAGATTCATGCATCTGTTCTAGTTGATGGCCACTCTTGGATGATTAAAAGCATATGTGAGGATCATATTTGTTCAGTGAAAGAGAAGCATAACAGGGCTGGAGCAGCTTGGGTTGCAACTCACCTTCTAGAAGACTTCAAAAATAATAAACAGATGAGTGTAGTTACTGCCCAGAAAATTATTTTGAAGAAGTTCAGCACTCGCATACCTGATTATACTTGCTGGAGGGCTCTTAGGGTCATGAGGGGTATGGTTGAAGGTAGGCATGAAGATGGATACAAGATGTTACCACAATACATGGAGGTTTTTAAAGAAAAAATCCAGATTCCTATTGCTTCATTAGGTGGCAGGAGATTGGTCCAGGGAGAAACCCAATTTTTAAGAGGTGTCAAATCTGTATAGGTTCATCCATCACAGCTTTTAAAAAGTATTGTAGACCTTTGATTGGTATTGATGCATGTCATTTGAAGGGTCCATATGAGGGAGTGCTTTTGACTGCTATGGCCTTAGATGGAAACAATGGTCAATTTCCCTTGGCATATGGTGTTGCTGATTGTGAAGATGAAACAGAGTGGTCTTTCTTCCTACATGGACTAGCTGTGGCACTTGGCTGCACATCAGATGCATCCCCATACACAATAATATCTGACAGGCACAAGGTAAATCTTAATTTCAAAGTTAGTCTTCTATTATTATTTTTTATTATTATTAAATCTATGATATTTGTTTATGTATTATCCTACAGGCAATAATTAAAGGACTGAGGAATACTCTGCCTAAAGCTAAAAGAAGGATTTGTGTGCTACACTTTTATAAGAACTTTGCTTCAAAGTTCTCAGGTACATGAGCCTTTCTTATTATATCTTTGTTCCAAGAGTACATCACCTAAATTTCTACACAATAATAAATGGCAGGTGCATGGTTCCATTCATTCTTCTACATTGTGGCAAATACTTTCTCAGAATATGTATTTAAAAAAGCAATGGAAAAAATAAAAGAGGAGGATGCAGATGCCTATGACTGGCTCATGGACAATGAACCACATGAACATTGGGCCAGACACAAATTTGATCCTGCATTGAAGTGTGATGACAACACAAACAACTTTGTGGAGTCATTCAATAAGGCCATAATATCACACAGAGCCAAGCCAACCTTGCAAATGCTAGAGGAGATCAGGAAATTAATAGGGAATAGATTTGAAAAAAGGTTTGACTTAGGCAGGAGTTGGTGTACTACAATAACACCTTATGTAGACAACAAGTTAAGGGTGCTAGCAATGGAGTCTAGAGTATGTTCTGAGGTTGTAGGAGCTGGTAGAGGTGAATTTGATGTGGTTGATGGGAACACCAACTTCACAGTGAGGCTGAGAGACCATCACTGTGACTGTAATAAGTGGCAAGTGAAAGGCCTTCATTGTAAGGATGCTATTAGATGCATACTGAGGATGAATGAGAACCTTGAAAACTACTGTGAAGATTGGTTTTCAGTTGAGAAGTACAGGAGGCTTTATGATCGTATAATACATCCTATCCCAGACCCTTGTATGTGGGGTGAGAGCTCACTTCCTAAACTTGATCCTCCCAAGACGTTTAAAAAGAAGGGGCGGCCAAAGAAGCACAAAAGAAGAGATGGAATTGATGATATAATTGCCAAAAAGAAGAGGATGCCTCATGGGACCAAACACTGCAGTCAATGCAAGCAGTTGGGACACAATCATAGGACCTGTGGGCAAATGAGAGATGAAGGAGGGAGGTTGCTGAAGAAGAAACAAAATAAGAAGAAAAAATCAACAACAGAAGTGTAGTTTGCTGAAGAGGGAGGTTGCTGAAGAAGAAACAAAGTAAGCAGTTGGGACAACATATGTACTCTATTTTGTTTTCTGTTGTAACATTGCTTGTAACATTTCTTTTTGTTTTTTTGGCACTGCAGTAGTAGTAACCTCTGGCACCGTGGTAACATATGTAGTAGTTTTTTGGCATTTTGGTATTAAACAACAGTTGGCCTGTGTTGGTTTATGAACCTGCCAATGCATTTGTTTCCAGGAATGTTTTGTTTATGACTATATATATATATATATATATATATATATATATATATATATATATATATATATATATATATGGCAATGCATTTGTTTGGCTGATTCTGCTCTTAAAATGAACTGTGTTTCAATAATGATCTGTGTAGGGTTATGCCAATGCCAATGCCTTCGGGTTGGTTCGGGGTGGTACGGGATGGTTCGGGATGCTTCGGGATGGTTAGGGTTGTTACGGGATGGTTTGTTATCGGGATGGTTCGGGGTGGTACGCGTTGGTTCGGGATGGTTTGAGATCGGGATGGAATTGAACAAACATCATGAGTTCCAAAAACATCACATGAAGTGTACCAATTGAACAAACACTACATCAAAATACAAACTCGTTTTCATAAATCATACCAACATTAGTTCAAGGATTCAAGCAACATCAAATTACATAAACAATACAAATATTGCCATGTTGAGGACCAATGCAGCACAAAACCCAAACATAAAGGCTCCAATTTTCTTCTCTTTGATACACTTGTTTAGAAGCTTTATCTCTTCATCTTTTGCACTGCTCTTCTTTAGAAGTCCGGGAATGAGCTTCTTAGCTCGGTCGCATATTGGAGGATCGAGCCATTCCCAAGAACGACATTTCCGAGTACCCTGTTCAACATCAACCTACTTTAGCAAAAAACAAATTAATATCGCTAAAAAAACTTAAATATATGTCTTACATTTCCATCACACTTCCACATTCTTCTTCCGGGATTCTTATCAGTCCAAGATGTAAGAATAGTCATGTCTTTCCCGCACCTACAGGTAGGTACCTCCAACCATTCACCATACTCACAAATTCTTCTTGATGAATTGAAAGAGTGACTAGTAAAAAAATCAAAAAACAGAGCGTATAGTTATAAATGAACTATGTAGAGTAATTCACAGTAATAATATTTGCTTTAATACCTCGAATCCATTACTGATCGAAGATCAGATTCAAGATTAGTTCAAGCACGAGATTCAAATGTAGAATAAACCTGTGCCTAAATGCAATAAACCCCAAACTCATGTTGAACAGGTTACAAGCACGAGAGCTTAGCCAATTTCAGATAATACCTGAAGAAGCACAGATGAAGCTTCGACACTCTCCTTCGTCTCTCTCCTTCGAAGCAAAGCCGTAAACTTGAAACCCTAGTGTTTCAGCTTTTCTAACATTAAAGAGGAAAGAGTGAGGGTTATATTAGGCATTTCACAACCTTTTTTAATTAAAATAACCGGAGTTAAGGTAGGAAACGGTGCAATGGACGGAAGTTCCCTCTTCAGTCACAAACATCATATTTTAAATCCCCAAGAGTAAGTTTTAGAAAAAAATGGGACCTGCGAGTCTTTATGCCAAAATAGAGGGTACCTGACAGCAATTTTTTGGAAAGTACTGCGTATGTGTTTATGAGCATAAGCAGAAACACTGATATTGGGTAGATTCTATTCAGATCCTTGTTCGAGTTTAGTCAACTAGAAGGTTTATTTTCTAGGAGTATTAAATGTTGCGGAGTACTATAAACCTGTTAGTCTATGTGCTTGTTTGGATATTGGCTGATCGGCTAGCTTTTAGCAGTTTGACTAAGAACAACTGATTTAGGTCTTTAATTAATTGTTTGGTAAATAGCTGTTTTGCCTAGCGGATGGGATCCAACTATTAAGAAAGGGTTTACATGCGGAGTATGATTTGTTTTATATGTTATTTTTCTTTATTTTTAAAAACTTTGTAAAACTAGTAATTTTTTTCCTTTTTTTCTTATTATGTACTCTAGGTAATTGTTTTTTATTCGTTTTGTTTGTTTATTTTTATTTATTTTTTTAAACTTGGCCAAACTAGCAGGTTTTTTTTTCATTTCTTTAACTATGTGCTCTATGTGATTTTTTTGGTATATTGTAACGTAATATATTTGCTCAGTATTTATTTTTATATATAGAGTTTTTTTTATTAAAATTCAAAAAATTAACTAATTGTTATAAAATATTGTATCATAATTAACACATTAGGAGGTATGTCTAAAAATGTAATTTACATCATAAACTTCTATTTATGAACAACTATGTTTGCCAAATAGTTTTTCGCTAACAGAGCTAATATAATTCATCAGTCAAAACAGCCAATTTAATCAACCATTCAATCCAGCTAACAGCTAATAAGTAAAGGTTGTTTTCCAAACAAGGCCTAACACATACTATTTCTACGGAGTAGGAGTGTTCTGATCATTGACGTATTTTTTAAAAAGTGATTTCCCTAAATAGCACTTAAATTGTTTTATTTCCTAAATAGCACTTAATAATGTCCATAATGTTCAGTGATGACGAATATTTACTCGAATAATGATTAATGCATAATGACTAAAAGTGCTACATTGGGAAGAAAAACACATGCGGTGCTATTTAAGGAAAGTCTTTATGTTTTAGTGTTATCTAAGTAAATTCCCCTTTTTTGAATGGGATATTTTTGAACAATCTTACTATTAAACACTTGTATATGAGCATATGGAGCTTGTTATTGGGAAAAAGATTAAATCATGAGTAAAACATAAGAAATATATTAAAATAAGAATTCTATAATTTTATTTCCAAAATACGAGTTAAAATGCATATATAATGTCAATCATGCCAATATATATTATAAAAAAGTATTGTGAAATGTCCATATACAGTGTTACATTAAACAGTGTAAACTCTTATTTAGAATAAAAACATGAAACTCCTATTTGAATATTTTTTCCATGTTTTATTCCTATTTAAAGTGATTTCTTCTTGTTTTTCCAATTTATTCTTGTTATTTACTCTGTATTATTTATTTTTATTAGGATTAGATAACTTAGATAGAAAATAATTTAAATAAAACTTGAATTAAATTAGATCATATAAAATTATATCGGAGACTTTAATAAAATCAGATAAGATTTTATTGGTGCATTGTTTTCAAGAATTTTGCCTTGTTATGAGTAAGACATAGAGAAAGTATCAAAATATCTTGTATAACTTTTATGCTTTTAATTCCAAAATATGACTACTGCCATGTGTCAATTTGACACTTTATATTGATATTCCATAATGTTTTTAACATTATATATTAATGTTATTGATATTTTCATTTTTGTTTTGGGATAAAAACTTGAAAATATTGTTTTGGTACTTTTTCTTTATTTTATTGGAAAAATTCACACGAAGACATTAAAAAGTCTACGATTTTATGTGATTACTCCCTAATTGAATAATTAACAAAATTACTCCCAAAATTGTTGAATTTTAAACCAATATTTCAGATTAGATTTGATCTAATTAGATTTAATCCGATCTGATGAAATCTGATTTTAATAAGAATAAGTAATGAGCTAAAAAAATAAGTTGAATGGAATGTACCCTAAACTGAATATCTAGCATTTCGTGGCGACTGGACAAATATTAAGTATGCGTTTATAACTAATAAAAAAGAAAATACCTTGAGTGCGGTATATCTAAACCCCTGCACTACTGGTTTAAAATGAGAAAACTAAATTGTGGTAAAATAGAAAAATTGAAATATGTATATTTTTATCATATAAAGTATGAATAATGCTTAAGATAAATAATAAAAATTTTAAAATAAAAATTTATAATCTAAAGTATATTCGTCGAATATGTATTTAAGAGACAAATCCAATCGTATATATATCTTACGAAGCATTAACTTTAAAACTCCCTATTTTCTTATCTGAAACACTATTCACAATTTATCTGATAATAATATATTTTCTCCATTTTCATTTTTTAGAGAATAGTTCCACACTAACTTTTTTCTATCCCACAAAACACTTCTATCCCATAAAATATTTCCAAAACAACTTATATCTAGAATATATAATGGAGGAATAAGATCCATTCAAGAGCATTTTAGGAGAGGATAAAAGTGTTGAAATATTTGCACTAAATAGCATTAAAACTTAAGTCATTTCCTTAAATAGCACTTAAATTGTTTTATTCCCTAAATAACACTTCCTAATGTCCATAATGTCCAGTGATGACCAATATTTACTTGAATAATGACTAATGGAAAATGACTAAAAGTGCTAGATTGGGAAAAAACACATGTGATGCTATTTAGAGAAAGTCATTATGTTTTAGTGCTATTTACATAAATTCCTCAAAAGTGTTTTGTGAAATGCGTAATTACTTAGGGTGGAAATGTTTTGTTAAACATGGAGAGTAGCACATTTCAATTTTCTATTTTAACACACTTTTATGTTAATTTGACGGTGGGGGTGGTTAGTTATAATGCACTCCAAGTATGATTATTTTTTATTTTTTAATAGTTATAATCTCATACTTAATAGTTGCTAGTGTTCATCTAAAACGATACATATTTTACTTAGTTGGCAACCTAGTAAAATAAAATTGTAGATTTTTTGGGGTACTTGTGTAAATTATTCCTATTTTAGTTCTAGTTTAATTTGCTGTAAAAAAATTCTAGTTTAATTTTTCTCTTTTTTTTCTTCCAAAAACCAAAAGGTGTGAAAAGAACAGTGGTTGTTGTTGGCAAGAACTCTCGTTGAGTCATCTTGATTTGTAGTAAATTGTTATTGAATCATTATTAACAAAATTGAATTGACAAAAAAATAACAAATTTGAATATAAACAAAATTAATTCAATTACAAAGCATACCAAAACTTCATCAACAAAAATGAATCAATACCCTACATATAGAAACATAGTAAATTTCTAAATTAAAATGTCCATACAGTGTCAAAAAAGATCACATTAAATGTCACATGTAATCATATAATGACAATCATGCCAATGTATATATAAAATCATACATGCGAATGCATAATGCTAAAAAAATAAGAAATTTGAAAGTAAACAAAATTAATTCAATAACAAAACACACCCAAAACTTCATCAACAAAAATGAATCAATACCTTACATATAGAAACGTAGTAAATTGTTAAATTAAAATGTCCATATACTGTCAAAAAGATCACATTAAATGTCACATGTAATCATATAATGACAATCATGCCAATGTATAAAGTCATACATGTGAATGCATAATGCTAAACAAATTAAATAGATAATGACAATCTTGACATTGTATAATATTATTTCTGGTAATGTATAATGAAAGATATGTCAATATATACTGTTATATATCGCAGATGGTAATGTATAATGTCAAAAGGGGGTAAATATCAAGTAACCCTACTATTTGTCATTAATTTAATTTGTTTAATGAGTATTGGGACTCTACTATTTGTCACTAGTTTTGTTTAATGAGTATTGGGAGTCCAACTTTGGTTTAATTTGTGCGCCCAACTTCTTTGTTCGGCCAACTTGGTTTGTGCCGCAAGGTGTTTATCAAAAATTATATTTAATTAATTACTCCTATTTAATCTATTTAATGAAGTTTAAGTTTGAATTCTTATTTTAAAGATATGGGGTGGCGGGTATACGGATCGATTGTGTTGGTTGGGAATTGGGATTAATTTCAGGAGTGGAGTCATTTTCTTCCCTTGCCCGATCTCTCTATCTCAAGCTGTCAGCAATGGCTTCCAACGGCTTCGGCGGTGGAGAATCTTTCTCTCCTTCAGCTCCGCCCTTACCCGCCACAGATGAGCCCTGCTTGGCCCACCCATACCATCCCCCATCAGCCCTCCATCCCCCGACGACAACTCACTCCGTTCCTAGTTACGCTCCGGAAACTTACTCCGTTCCAAGCTATGCTCCTCCGGCAACTCCGTCTCTGCAACAGAGTAGCAGCAATTACGGGCCGAGTCCGTCCCATGGCTACGACTCGTACAGTGCTTTTCCTCCTGGCACTCACCCGGATGTCATTCGGAGCTTTCAAATGGCGGATTTGGATCATAGCGGGTTAATTGAAGACAAGGAGCTTCTACAGGCCCTCTCTACGGGTTACCAGAAATTCAGTCTCAGGACAATTCGATTGCTCATCTCTCTCTTTAAGAACCCTAGTGAATCTTCTCTCAGGATCGGTGCCTTATCTGGAGTCTGAATTTATTTAGTTCATACTTCAATTACTTCTTTATTTTTATTGAATAGATCACATTTTCATGTGACTACTGCTAATTTCTTTTGGTTTTGGTGAACAGGGCCTAGGGAATTTGCTGGTTTGTGGAGTTTGTAGAAAACTGATAGGAAGAACACATTGGTATGCAGAATAGAATTTTTATTGATGTAAAAACTGTACAGGAATATTTGTGTTCACTAAATATATATAGAGAACAGACCAACATGACTTTTACTAACCAACACAACTATTACAAACCAACACACCTATTAACAATAGAAACTACCCATAACTGCCTTTTAGAAACTGCCCTATTGTTTTTTATTTAAATTAATTAAATATGTAAAACACACTAAACGACACCACACTAATTGACTCTATACTAACTGACCCAAACATCGACTCATTACCCATTCAGTTATATGTGAACAAACCCGATTAAATCTAACAATCACGCCCTTAATCGTTGTTTGTTCACACTGATCTTCACAACAACGTTGGTTCATCATCTTCAATCAAGTTTGCAATCTGTTCCTTTTGATCCCATTTTGGACATTCGTTCAAAAAATGCCCTAACTCATTGCACTTGAAGCACCTAACGTGACTCTTATCCCGCTTAAACCGACCATCATCCTGACCTTTCCCAGACCCCCGACCTCTACCTCGGCCACGTCCAAAGTCTTCTCGGTTTAAGCTCCAGCAACCACAATGCTCACATTTGTGCTCCTGAACCTTCTCTTTTCCATCACCTTTAGTGAAGAGTAGTTTACCATGTGTATCTCCTTCATCAGTTGGCCTTTTGANTGATGCGTTCCTCGAATGCTTTCAATCTTCCAACCGCTTCTTGAAATGGCATTGCGTTAATGTCGGCAAACTGTTCAATTGCAGCAACGATCTGCATGAACTTTTCAGGTACAGAACCCAAAAGCTTTCGAACCAATCTTTTGTCTTCAAATGCAGACCCAAGGTTGTTTGCTTGTGTTGCAAGTTGACTAATTTTACCAGCAAAATCATCAAGTGATTCATTGTTCTTCATCTTTAGATTCTCAAAATCTGATTCAAGTGTCTGTAATCGCGCCGCTTTAACCCTGTCAACACCAACAAAGCGAGTCTTCAAAGCATCCCAAATTTCTTTTGCTTCAGTAAACTGGGCAACTTGTAACACGATCTCTTCCGGCAAAGCTTGAAACAGATATGTTATTGCCATATTGTTCTTCTTAGGATCAATTTCTGTTCCTGGTTCGATCACCTCCCAAATCCCATTACCATTAAAAATTGCTTTGATCTTCACAGCCCAAATAGTGTAGTTTGTAGAACTTAGAATTGGAACCGTAAAAGATAGTGAACTATTCTCCCTTGTAGTCACAATCTGTCTATTGTCTTCCATTGCACAACTTTAATTCCTATGACAATTTTCACAAAATTCTTAGACTTTGATTCCTTCCTGGGTCGTAAGCCACCTGCAATCGACCGACCACCAACCAGAAGACAAGCCCCTGCTTTTCCGTCTTCCAAGCCGCTAAACGAAAGCTACCCCGCTTATTCGTTTTTCCTGCGCCTTTTGGTTGGAATTCTTCTGCCAAAGAAAAAAAAACTAGCAACTTGATGTTCTTTTTCTAGGCGAGGAAGAAATCTGGTCAAAGATTTCTGATCTGTTGTCGAGGAAATTGAAGTGCTCTGGCGGATCCCTTTTGTGGTAGATCGTACACCCCCTGATCGCAATTCACACCGCTCTGATACCAAATGTAGAAAACTGATAGGAAGAACAAATTGGTATGCAGAATAGAATTTTTATTGATGTAAAAACTGTACAGGAATATTTGTGTTCACTAAATATATATAGAGAACAGACCAACATGACTTTTACTAACCAACACAACTATTACAAACCAACACACCTATTAACAATAGAAACTACTCATAACTGCCTTTTAGAAACTGCCCTATTGTTTTTTATTTAAATTAATTAAATATGTAAAACACACTAAACGACACCACACTAATTGACTCTATACTAACTGACCCAAACATCGACTCATTACCCATTCGGTTATATGTGAACAAACCCGATTAAATCTAACAGAGTTGTCTTGGGCAATGGAGGGTAAGAAGTTGTTCATCCTTTGGTTTATATTGAAATTCCTTTAGATTATGTCATTTAGAGAAGTTATATTTGAGCTACGGTTGGTTTGAAATCCATTATGTTAGAATAAAATTTACTCCGCAGGATGGAGTAGTATATTTCTTAGGAGCAAAAGAAAATGACTTTTTTCTCATATACAATATGCCATTAAAAAAGGTTCCAGACATTAGGCTACTGCTTTATACAAGTATTATGTGCATCAATGAATTACTTGCTGTGGGCCATGATGTATGTGGTATTATGGTAACCTTATAAGATAATGGCAGAAAAGGGAAAATAACACAAAACAGTTAACTGAAATTTAAAACCTGAATTTATAGATATGTTTAGTGGAAACAAGGAATAGCCCTTATACTTTAAGACAAATTCAACATTTAATGCCCTTATAATCAACCCCATATTTCATCTTCGAACATTTAATATATTCAAGTGGCTAAGTTTGAGCATTAATATCTCAATTTCCCAAAATTGGATTTGAGAGGTTTATAATGCTAACCCATATAGTTTTAACGTACATTCCAAATATACCTTTTGATTAATGAATTCACAAATGGAGGATACTTAAATGTGCTATTAAACTTGGTGTTTCAGCACCAGTTTTTAACCATCCTCAACAAATGAGTCTAATGTCGATTCACATGCACATGCTAATAAGAATAACATTCGGATGACTAGCCATTGTTTGAGGAGAGATATCTTGTGGTTATGAGGCCATACCTGAACCCAGGGTATCTCATCCTCCCCCACCCCCACACTACCCTCACCCCAAAGTTCAGGGTTAGACTTGAACCAATCAACATGGAAATCATCATTCTTTAAGATTTTTGTGTGTGCTAGGCTACGTCATTATCTTGATGAATTATTCCATTTTTGGAACATAATTTTCCAAAAAGAAGCAACATTTCTCCTTTTCTATCACTTCTAACCACATTGATTTTCATCCTCCTTCTCATAATTCTAATATGCTTCTATGGCCTGTTTTTTTGTCCTCAAAAGATACATATAACTATATCTAGTGCAATCATCAATCACCCCGGTTCAAGTGACATTCACTTTGAATGTCATAGGATGACTCGGGCCTCCTGTGGTACCATCAATTTTTCGAACGGAGCACCGTAGGAGACCCGGATCATCCTATGTAATTGCTCTCAATGTCACTTGAACAGTTGAACCGGCCCCATCATCAATAAAGGCTATGAAATACTCCTTCCATCTAAAACGAGTCCTACTAACTGTGTCCCAAAAAAAGTCCTATTTGAACAAAATAAAACTAAACTCCATTTCTTTTGATGTTTCCTGATGAGAAAAGTATCCCAGACAAGTTAAATATAGTACACATAGTTAAAGCATTAAGTGTAAAAATATATCTACAATATATGATTTGCAATAGTTGTACATTACTAAACAAAAGAGTTGTCTTCCATTGCTAATGGAGCTGAAGTAGTCATTTTTGTAGTGTTTTAGCTTCAAGTAAATAATAGACTAGATCAAAATAGAATTGTAAACTTCATTTGCTTCTTATTTTCTATGAATTTTTGGGAAGTAAGTACATAATTCAATGTTGCGTCACACCAGGCTTTTTATGCGACAAAGAGAACAATTTTTCCCTCTAGTTTGCACTATCTCCAAATCACATAGTGTATATTTGTATGAAATGACTCTTTGTTATTATCTCTAGAGAACCGTATTGCTTTCAATCAAATGGAAAGGAAATTTGGCCGTTTCCTCCTTAACACATATTACCTCCGGCCGGGAGTATCCGTCAGCTTTGGCTTTTTCGGTCCAAATGGAAAATATTGATCATCAATTAAGCAACAATTGCATTGCATATAATGCAAATATGATTTCATTAGAACTTTTCCCTAGTACTTCGAATTTATCTTGCGTCAATTGTCAAATTTAAGCCATAGAAGCATATTTAAAATCACCATTTTCCGTAATCAGTTAAAGGTAACGTGTCCTAATCTACTATGCCATAAATTAGAACACTCAACCAACTAATTGAAATTATTTATTTATTTGCTTGAACAGTTCCTTTTCTAGATTAACTTTTTTTATATAAATGAACTGGCCATTTTTATTCATTTTAAATTTGTTATCCTTAAACAACACCAGTACAATCCCTCAAGTAAGACAAACTTAAAACTAGCCTTGACCAATGGCAATAGCTATCAAGAAAGGGTAGAAAGCTGATCTTTTTTTGTCGGGAATAGACATTATTAAGACTTGAGAGTAAGTTCCTTTTCTGATGTCCTTTTGAGGGGCATCCTTCCTAGACGCTGCTGAATTTTCTGTTTACAACTTCCTTGACGGGAACATATTTCCTTTTTTTGAGCATATATAGTGATTTGCTCGAAAGTCATTCCACCACTCTCTTAGGTTTTCCACCACGTTGGCTTCATGTTCCATACCCTTAAGTTCAACTCGGATATATCAGTTGGAATTAGAGCTGGCAAATCGGTCGGTCAGGTCGGGTTCGGGTTCGGTCACTTCAAGTTCGGGTTATTTCGGGTTCGGGTCAATTCGGGTTCGGGTTGAGAACTGTATGTTCATGACCCAGTATCGTCGGGTTCGGGTCGACCCAACGGGTTATAACTTTGATTTTTAAAATTTTTAAATTCACATTACCACTTACATTTTCTATTAAATAAATTTAAAATATCAAAAAAAAATGTATTAAATCTATAAAATTGATTTATTTTAAACTCTGAAGTAATTTTTTAGATATATAAATTAATATAAGGAATTTAAAAATGCTTAAGTTTTGGAAAAAAGTAAGATAATTATGCAATATCATTAAAATTTTCTATGCAAATATAAATTTGTACACTAAAAACGAGTAGTAAAGTGTATGATTTTGAAAAATTCTTACTTTAGCGGGTCGGTCAGGTCGGGTTCGGGTTCGGTCGGGTTTGACCCATTTTTAGCGGGTCATTTCGGGTTCGGTCAACTTCGGGTTCGGTCATCAAAACCATTGTTCAAAACCCAGTGTTTTCAGGTCGGGTTTCGGGTCAAAAACAGGTCGGGTCATTTTTTGCCAGGTCTAGTTGGAATGCTAGGATTGTTAATCACATTAGCCTTATTTTTTCCTTCCTTTTTTGAAAAACTTCTCGAGTCCAAGTGTTATCAGTTATAGGAATCATCTCACAAGATACAACCACTACTTCCTTTGAATAACATCAAAACAAAATTTCAGACTCGGTGAACAAAGGATGGAATGTAACTTTCTTCATAAAATGCTAAAAAAATGCAAGGAGAGGATGGAATTAGATGGTATGAATAACTATGGTCGAAGTGCTTGTCCAGGAAATGGGCTTAGTTATAGAGCGTGAAATGTTGCCTTCTAAAGTTTGCAATGTTTCTGGGATGATTCAAACAACATATACACACTCGTTCATGGTATTTGGAACAAACACACTGGTTCTCTTAATTGTCTGGTGGAAGAAAATTTTGTGGCCCATAAGCATATACACTTTTAGGGTGTGTTTGGATTGAAGGGAATGGGAGGAAGAGAAGGTAAATGAAAGGAAAGAGGCATTACATCCTTTGTTTGCATTGGAAGTGTTTGAAGGGGAGAGGATTTGGGAGTACTCCCTCTCTTTCACTCCCCCTTATATTCCATTCCCTCCAAATTGGAGTACAATGGAGGTAGAAAATACTAACTCCCCTTTATTAACTACTTTTACTTTGAAATTATATTCGCTCCCTTCATTTTCCATTCAATCCAAACAAAAATATTCTCCTCCATTATGTTTCATCCCTCCTCAAAATTTTAATCCGAACACCATATTATCGTTTTCCTTCCTCTCCTCTATAATGCTCTTCCTTCCCTCCTTTCATTAAATTTGGTCCCTTCTATCCATTATCCAAACATAGCCTTAGGCCCAAAGGCTAAGACCAACCAAACCCAGCCCAGGTCCCAACTCAACCCTGTCTAGCGGCGCCTGTGTGGGTTTGCTTCGAACCTACATGAATGCAGGTCCTCTCTCTTAAATTTGGGTGTCCCTTGGGACTCAAACCTATTTCAAACTATGCATTAATATATACGTGTTGTCTTGAATCATTCAAAAGCTGGATGAGTCTTAACTCACCCCTCACCTTCCATTTTCCACCATTTTCTCTCTTGAGCTCAAAAGCTCAACTACCCGGTTTCACCTTTGTTCATAGCCGTTTTCGGTCAATTGTGGAATCTTATTTCAGGGTAGAGGGAGTATCATGGTAAACTAATACATACATGCATATATATAACTCCCTGAGACCCAAGATTAAGGTGATTTTGGGAGTTTGTGCCAACCTTTATCCATCAATTTCTCATTAAGTATAAAGTTAAAAAATATACTTCCTCAGTCCCTAATTTATATCCTATGAGGGATAAGTTGGCATGACTATGTTTAATTCGGGATGGAGGGAGTAATTTTTATATTGTGATATTTGTGATGAAAGTAGTTTCATAATTTGTAAATTGTTCAATTTTTTAAAATGTATTTTAAGAGAAATTAACGGACAATGTTTGGTACCACTTTTCGTAGAGGCTCAACATTTTGGGAAGAAAAGAGTGTAAGTATATCCATTCATACATACATACATACATACATACATACATACATATATATATATATATATATAATTATAGAGGTTGGTTAATGTTACCATAATTAGTTTTTACAAATTACAACAAATCTTACAACAATCATATCATTGGTCGTCCTTAAGTTTCAACACACACACACACTATATATATATATATGTATATGTGTGCACATTTATATAATACACACACACACACAGGTAATGCATGTATGTATATATGTATAGATACCAACATGCACCCCCCATCCCTCAAGAATAAGGTTCTTTATTTGGTTTACGATATTTGACGAAAGCTATTATTAAATTCAATTTATTTAAAAATTAGTATAAATTGTAAAAATAAATCTTATGTATTAAAGAACTATATCAATAATTTTACCAAATAGATGTGGCATGCCTATTTTTATTTTGTCAAATGATTAAGGAAAATATGTAAGCAGAGAAGATATGGTTTGACCGTGTTAATAATAATGTGAAATCTTTTTCTCAGGGAGAGGGAGTATATAGAAACAAATTGAGCCCACTTAAATACATTTTTTTCTCTCAAATTGAGCCCACTTAAATACATAATTGATTACATTTTTTTCTCTCACATCTCAATAACTTATGTTTATTTGTGTGTTTTCATTGATTATTTGATAAAATATAATATAATTGTCACCTCTTGTTTTGTAGAACTTTTGACGTAGTTTTTTTAATATGTAAGTTTTATTTTTTATTGATGTACCAATTTAAAGAAACTAATTTCAAAAAAATGTTGGATTTTGTCTTGTAACTCCCAATCTATAATCAAAATTGGGATGGAGGGAGTATATTATTGACCTTGGTCTTTCAACAATGATAACCAATAGGCAACAATAAAATCAATAAGATCCCTTATGGTTCTAATCTTTGGGGTTCTAAAAAATTCACCAGGCTATACAAAGGAATATGGCTGTTTTAACTGTGTGGCATTCGGAGATGCTTTGTTTTATTTTGAAATGGCTATTTGAAGTATTAAGATAAGAGTTTTTTCAATTTACTTTTATTTTGTGAAGGATGGTGGGTTAGCTTATTTCCACTTTCCAGTTGCGACTATCTAATAGTTTCTCTTGAGTTCTTCTGTCCAATAGTTCTCTTACCTTCATACTCTTATCTAATAGTTATCGTAATGATGTACTTCAACCAAACTCTTGTTCAGGAAACCTTTGAGAGGTTTGATAGAGATGGGAGTGGTAAAATTGATGAAACAGAACTAAGGGATGCTCTCTACAGTCTTGGGTATTTGGTGCCTCCTCTAGTCCTTCAACTTCTGGATTCCAGATATGATGACAGTGCAGGGCTGGACTTCGATAAATTTGTAGAGTGAGTCTTTTTTTCGTGCTGGCTAGGATTTTGCTTTTATCGAATTAGATAGTAAAACCTTGGTTCATATATAGCCATGTTCTTATTTCTTAATGAATCTTATTTCTTGTGGTTGCAGATGTGGGATGATTTTTAAGGTATGCTGAGGATCTCTCCCTCTCTCTCTCTCTACCCTCTCCTCATTCCTGGTTTCTCGTCCTCTTTGAATTGGTTCCAGTTGAATGCTCTATTTATTTCTCATCATATTCCCCAAAAATATATATCTTGAAATGGATTTTGGCCCCACAGACAAAATTAATGCTGCATACGTCACTCCTAAACTATTTATCCCCAACTTTGGAACAAGAACTAGGCGCTGTTGACAGATTATATTCAAATGATATGAATTGGAACCAATCTACGAGTTTAATCTTTTAGATCAGATGGTTCGATGACTTCAGCACTTTTAATGCTTGGTTCAAAGGCCCACTTAAGGTTCAATAGCGGGAACTCCAAAATGGGGCTTCTTCGTCCAGGATATATGCCCTCGAGGGGAACCCCGAATAGATAAGAGAACCCCAAAAAGAGCTTTACGCGAGGTTATTCTCTGCGGCTATGTTGAAAGTGGTATATTGAAATGCACTTTAGCACTATTAGTTATTATGTGGCATAGAATATTTCCAAGTATTTGGGCCTGTTCGGTCACATCCATTGACCATGAACGCCAAATAAGCAAGTCAAAATCTCATATTTTGCTTACAGAGCTCTTGACAGATCCTCCCTTTCCAAAAGAAGCAAGTCTCATGGTTACGGTTTCTGAACTCTTTATTTTTTTTTCCTTTTCGTTTTGTTGGTGGAGGTACATAATCGTGAATCATATGCACCTTCTATATGGGTTTTTTTCCAGGGTCTGACAGAGAAGTTCAAAGAGAAGGATACACAGTATGCAGGCTTTGCAAAGCTGAGTTATGATGAGTTTCTGTCTATGGTCATCCCTTTTCTTGTGTCATACTAAGAAGAAGGATTGAAGGACCACTCCCCAAGGTGCCCTAATTTTTAAGAGTATGAATTAGGAAGGGACACAATACCTTTACGTTGATACCATTCAGTCAAGTGGGAACACCATATGCCTTTGGGGCAATAATAAAAAATATTATAAATTTCAACTCTTTTGAATCCGTTTTACTCGTGAATGATGGATGGACCAAAATGAATGTTGTATGTAATAGCCAATGGATATATCAGGTGATAGATAGAGAGTAAATGGATGAATGAGGGTGAAGTCTTGCCATATCAAAATCTGGTCCATTGACATCCCTAGTATTTAGGGACATTTTTTTATGTAAAAACATTTTCTACACGATCAGCAGTTCTTGATCTCACACATGCATTTCTTTACTCGTTATCAGTTTACATGTAATGAAAATATATAAACTCAATTATTTTATGAATAGAAATAATAATGAAATATTAGTTGATTGACGCACAATGTCTCTATATCATTGGTTTTTCTAGTGTTTTCTTCTCTTTTCATATTTACATCGTCAAAGATAGTACCACACTCATGTGCATTATCAAAGAAAGGTTTCATAAAGATTAAACAAATGTTGTAAATAATAGTAATACTATCAATTTCTATGTATAAAAAGTATTGAAGTTCAAGTAAAATGATGAATTATTAAATTAGCTTTTTATTTGAAATGACACGTGCGTAGGTTTTTTGAACATGATATTTCGTAATACTCCGTGTTTTTTCTTTTTCAAATACTAATGAGTGGGGTGATGGGTAAGAAAAATCTTCACCCACATGCATGCGTTCGATCGATTATTCGATTCATCCATCATCCATACATTATCCATGTTTATTTTGATTTTATCCGTTATAGCGGGCCGGATTGAAATTGTCACATACTCCGTACTAAATAAGAGTAAGGGCTGTTTGGCAACTTCTGAATTGGTAAGTGCTGAACCAGTAAGAGGTCTGAACCATTAAGTGCTGAACCAGTAAGAGGTCTGAACCATTAAGAGCTAGTATATTGATTAACTATTCAGAGGCAAATGTCAGATAAGAGGTCTTAATCATTCAGACTCTGTATAATACTTAATCATTCATAGGCAAATGTCTTAACCATTCAGACATCTGAACCATTAAAAGGCTGAAACAAACAGTCTGAATCATTAAGTGCTGAACCATTCAGACATCTGAACCATTAAGAGGCTGAAACAAACAGCCCCTAAGTAAAATGACATGAAAATATCCTAACGTCATATATGGTTTTTGATTCTCTAATTAAAAGTATGATGATAATGTGGTGGTAATGTGGCGGTGTGATGAGTGACTGTGTGGTGGTGAAGTGTAGTTGCAAAGCGGTTGTGAATCATTGGTCAACGATGGTCAATGCGGGCGTACGATGGTGTTGCTTTGACAATTCATCACGACAGCATTGCGGCAACCAACAACAATTGATAATGTGACGTAGATTTTAAATCAATGGTAGAATTGCTATAATAAAAAGTGCTCCGTATGAATTTGGAATCATATTTGGGGTATACGTAAAAAGTTTAAAAACATCGTTTTTCATAATTTTATCCTCTGTTGGACCGTCTGGCCCAGTGAAACTTTTTTTCAAACAAATTACTACCTTAGTCCATGTAGCTTTTTTCCTTATGTGTTACGAGACTTGACCGATTTTATTTTTTATTTAATTTATTTGATTTTATTGTAGGTTTAAAATTAAGAAATACCCGAATACTATAGAACTTGTAAATTTAAAAACTACATTTGAAGATTTATGATATTAGAGATAAAAAAAATTAATTATTTTATCAAATGAATAAAGAAAAAAAGAAGTATATACTACGTAAGGTTTAACTATGTGACTATGTGAGTAGTGTATGAGAATTGTGTTGGTGTAAAACTAATTTTTATTAACACACCAATACTTTGTGTCCGTATAAATTTTTGTTAACTCACTAACATTTGTGCCGGTGCAAACCATCAAAATGTTTGTGTATAACTGCGGTGTACAAATGGGGTACACTTTTTGGTTAAGTGTAGCATGGTTCAATTTTTTTAATATAGGGATTAATTATCTCCCTCTGGGCCTATCCGACCCGGTCTGCTAGATCCGTTTAGGAGGAGATCCCAAAAGCATCCGTCTTTATTTGTATCAAAGTCCGCATCTAGAACTGGAACGCCGAGGCTAGCCAGTCACATTTTCTTCATTTCTTGAGATTTTTCTGCGGAGCTTAAACCGTAAGAAATCGTTAACGGAAAACAGAGATTCCGATGGAACACCCCACGGCGGTTCGGAGAAGCGGTGGCGGCCTTTTCGAAGGCCTCTATAGAGTCGTCATGCGCCGCACCTCTGTTTATGTCACCTTCGTCATCGCCGGTGCTTTCCTCGGCGAACGGGTCCGTTCCTTCACTTTAAGCTCTTATGGCGTTGGGGATCTGAACAGATTCATCAGATTCCGATGTAATTTGGTTCTAATTTGTAGTGCTGATTTTTTTATCTGTTTGTTATCGATGTTGCAGGTGGTGGACTATGGGATTAAGAAGCTCTGGGAGAAAAACAATGTTGGGGTATTTATTCCAATCAATTTTGTCCTGATTTTTGTTTCATTAGCTCCTGATTTGATTATTGCTCAATCAATTGTCGATTTTTTAAACAATTGAAGCTTTTTCATTATTTCTTTTTCTGGATAAAAGGGGGCTTTCGGCTGCTATGTTTGTATCGGTATGCTACATTGCTACTGATAGAAAGTTTGGGAATTTTTCTTTGCCTTGTCTGATTTTTGATGTGTTTTAGCTGTCATCTAAAAGATTTCATGGCACTATTTGATATTGCTTTCTTATACATACGTAGTATTTGCTATGAAAGTAGGAAATCCAGGTTTATATGAATCTCAGTCTCTCCGAGGTATTTGTTCACACTCCATATTGTTCTTTTCTGCCTTTGGTCATTCTTTAGGGGTAGTAGCTATATGTACCAGTTTTCTTCTTCCAGTTGTTATCCTTCCCACTGTGTCATATTTCTTCTCATATTCCTTCATAACAGGCTGGTAGGTTTATTACTCCGTATTCAGTTCCCCAATCTGTTACCCCCTTTGTCCCTTTTTAATCTTCCCTTTACTACTCACAGGGTCAAACTATATCTTCTTTCTTTACATGTTTTCATTGATCATTTGGTAAAATAAGAGTCAAATTACCTCTTGTTTTGTAGAACGTTTGATGTTGTTTTAAAATATATAATTATTTTAAAATTTAATGCTAAAATTAAATAAATTGAATTAAAAATAACTTCAATTAAACATTGTAATTCAGAATGGGAAGATTATGACTTTAGTGTGATATGACTTTAAATTAAGCAGGACACTTTTATACAACAGGCCGGTAAGTAGGGAAGTAGCAGAAACCGTTATTTTTTTTCTCTTCACACACTATCTTTGGAGTCCCTAGATGTTTGGTTCCTATCCTACTTTGCAAAGTCATGCAATAACACAACTCATGGTTTCCATATTCCCAGCTTCTCGTGTATTGGAGCTGGAGTCTTAAAAGAAGTGATTTCTTTCATCTTTATTATGGTTTGTTTAGTAATGGCTTATGGAGGGGCCAGACTGTCATGTTCTCATCTTCTTTGGACATACTCTGTATGAGAAGAGGCCTCGTTGGTGGAAAATTCAGCAAGTTTTGATCATTCTGATTATTCGTCTCTACTTTTATTTGGTTTCTTGAAACTCTTTTGCCACTCGCTTTGCCCCGATTCAAGACACTATATCTGAGTGAAGTTTTTTTGCATTCATCCTTAGGTGTTAAACTTGTGCATTGTGATCAGTCATGATTGCCCTTTTTTCTTGGGATGCCATTGAAAGTTCTCAACAAATCTTTTTGTTTCGGTGCATCTTAGGCTTTTAGTTAGTCTTATTATCTTACTATACTTTTTCTGTGCATCTTGGGCTTTTAGTTAGTCTTATTATCATACTATACTTTCCCAAAGTTTTAACCAAATGTTTGGTGTCTAACTTACATTCATCTCAACCACAAATGCAGAAACGTTACGAAGATATTCCAGTTTTGGGACAGAGGCCAACGGAATGAACTGCTCCGGAGTGCACATTTCAAATTGTTAGTTTAATAATAAACATCTTATTAGTGTGCGCCATGCAAGCCATGAGACCACCTTTTTTTCTTCTCGTGAAATATTTTGTATTCATAATTACTCTTTGAAGTATTGCTCTGAAAATTACAATTGGAATATATTCCCGTTTCTGTCCTTTTCTTTTTTTAAAAAGACATGCCCCAAGTTAGCAGCACTGCATGTGATCTGGATCAACAAGCTATGCTCTGCCTCGATATTGCTATAAACCAATTATGTTTTATATATATATATATATATATATATATATATATATATATATATATATATATATATATATATATATATATATATATATATATATATATATATATATATATATATATATATATATATATATATATATATATATATATATAGATTTTGGTTCAGGTGAGAATGCAATCTAATGAAAGAAATAAGAATGAATCTGGTGCATTAGATTGGGAGATCTAAGGGTTAGGATTGCATCAAAATTAGGTGCACCAAGATGGTTTGAAAATGCATCATGTCGAAATGCACCATAATCCTTTGAAAATGCACTATCTCAAAATTTGAGTGCAGAATGCAATCTGAGCCGCACGATGCATCAGATCCAAAGGCCAGATTTTATTCTTATTTCTTTCACCAAGGTGCATTCTCACTTGAACCAGTCCCTATATATATATATATATATATATATATATATATATATATATATATATATTGGTGCCGTTCAAATTAGGCTTTGCACCAATTTACTAAGGGCTAAAAGTGGGCTAAAAGTGATAAAAGTGTAATTTCACAATGATAATATATATTTTTTGTCATACACAATTCCAAAGGTTCCGTTTGCGTTGTTTGTAAATTACATTCGCTTTCTACTACAACAATAGTCTACAAATGTTGTCTTCCATCGGAATCTTAGCCCACAATCATAGTTATTATTTTTATGTTATCCGCTTAACCAATATTAGAACATGTCACTAAACATAATATTGATGTCAAATTATACTTTTAGGCTTTAAATTAATACTCACATGTCGGAAGATCAAAAAAGAACTATTTGTGGAAAGACACCTTTAAGAAAAGGAATACAAGGGTAATATTTAAAAATAAAGGACTAAATATGGAAGCTCCTCTGTTATAAAGGATCAAGAGCCCGGTTTCATGGCCACTGGATTCCAGTGGCCACGGAAGCCACTGCCCCCCTACGGAGCTCCGTTCATAAAATTGATGATTCCTACCCTCTCTAACCCCTCGGTAAACCCCCCCTCCAAGTCCCGACCCAAACTAATCACCCCACCTACGTCAATTGCACCTCGTAAGTATAAAGTCAAAACTTTTGACTTTAAAGTCAATTATACTTACGAGGTGCAATTGACATAGGTGGGGTGATTAGTTTGGGTCGGGACTTGACGAGAGGTTTATCGGGAGGGTTAGAGGGGTAAGAATCATCAATTTTATGAACGAAACTACGTAGGAGGGCAGTGGCTTCCGTGGCCACTGCAATCCAGTGGCCATGGAACCGGGCTCAAGGATCAATTATGAAATTTACGAATGAGACTTTATCTTGGAGGTAGTGTTTGAACACATACACTAAGTCCCTTTTTGCTAAGCCACAACTAAAAGGGAATATTATTATGAGCAATCTGATAATTCATATTTTATTAACTAACGCCTGTTTTGGTTTACGATGTTTGACTGAAATTATTTTTAAATTATTTTATATGACAAATGGTATATAATTAAAAAATAAAAATTACATATTAAAATACTACATCAAAAGATCTACAAAACTAATAGTGACAATATTACTTTATTTTATCAAATTGCTAACGAAAATAGAGAAAGAAAGTGAATGAAGTTTGACCCTGTGAATAGTAAACAAGCATTATAGTTTGGGACGGAGAGAGTACATATTATTTACTATTGAACAAAATGTGTTCACTAAAATTATAGCATATGTTGACCAGGTTGCTTCAAAATGTAATTTTGAACAAAGTACTGAACAAAACAAAACAAGAGTTTTGAGAGCCCCTTGTCTTATATCTTTTCCAATTGTCCAACAAATTGAGAGCCCCTTGTCTTATCTTTTCCAATTGTGAAAAATACACACACCAAACAATATGCTTAGCTTCACATTAACAATGGCAGCAAAGATATTTCCCCATTCTTATAAATTAATTCTCTGCATATACTCTAAGACAGAGGAGAATATGAAGAGGTCATTCGCTCTTGACTGCACGGTAAATGTGGCGAACAAACACAAAGGAGGCAAGAAAGCCGACTGTTGCAAGAGCAAGGAAAAATCCATAACATAAGCAAGCCGTGTAGCCGAAGAAGAAACTCGTCTGCAAGAAGCCACTCATGTTTGATTTGTAATAGAAATAGATGCTATGGGCAAACATAAATGCAGCGGTAGAGCCTCCACGGAATATAGACCTGAATAATGTGTAAATGAAAAAATAATAATTTTTTTGATTTTTTGATTTTTTGACTTTTTTATTCGGGGGGGGGATATTTTCCCGAAACATTTTGATTCCATTTTGGTAACATAAGTGGTAGGAAAATATTTTCCAAAGAAAATAGACCTGAATATGAATTAGTTTAGGGAGACCCATCAGTTGCTGAGTTTTCTTGAAGACATGTGTAAATGCAATATATACATATATATCAATGATATTATGGGTTATTCAGCAATGAGGATTTGAGATAATAAGTGAAAATGAGTACAACTAGTTTCCCATCTAGTTTTCTTCCTTTTTTATTGCCTGGCATTTTCCGAATTCCAAACGGACCCCAAGCATATACAGACTATAAGCAAGGGCATCTATCTAAAAGAAAAAGAGAACATACCGCCACCACCACTCATGATCTTCAGCAGTGAGCTGAAAACATGTCAAACCAACACTTAAGACAGCAGTGAGAAAGACGAGGATTATGAACATCACGAATAAAACTCCGGGGAGAGTTAATGTTTTATGGGCCCACATGCTAGCATATAAATAGTGCAACTCAAGGGCAATGGCGCTGTAAGGCAACAGACCAGCCAGAAACATTTGACAGGGAGTCTTTTGATGCCACATGAGTGAGGGAATTTCCCTTGCAGATTTCTTCTGGGAAGAAGAAGGTGCTTGATGAAATTCTGACCTGAAACGGTACCCGGCCCCACCGCCAAGTATAAGCAATGGGATTGCAACAAGGGCATGTATAAGAATAACCAGTATGGTCGCGAAAGGAATTGCTGATGTGGCCCTGAATGACATGGCCACTAAGTTTAGAAGGAACCCCTGAAGTAGGAACGGCACCAGGAAGCACTTCTTTCCTAGAGATACAAAAAAATCTTTCCATCAATGTTTTTCTCGTGTTTGGTCTTAAATTCTTCCCAGGAATTTCCCCAAATAAATTCTAGGAAAGAAAATATGTACACTATGTTTGGTTCGTGGAATTCGCAAGGAGAAGAAAAGAAAAAAGGTTTCTCTCCTTTTCCTCATCAAAATGGTAGGAAAATCATTTTCCTTCTTAGTGCATTTCCTTCTCTCGTTTTCTTTTGCACCCACCGTACTTTTATCTTCCTCTCTAACCAAATAAGAAAAGTTGTTCTCTCCCATTTTCTTTTCTTTTCCCTCTCAAACTCCTTGAACCAAACATAGTGGTAGGACTATTTATGGACTTGAAACTTGAAGGACCAATCGTGCACAACTCACAAAGTTGAAGGACCAATGGTGGATTTTAGCCGGAAAACATAAAAGAAAATTGAAGCAAAAGAAAGTGCAGAACTTTATTTTAGTTATTTGTCAATTCTCATTTTATTTATTTATATTTCTTATTTAAAGATCGACAAAAAATGTTAAAACATGTATTCCAGTAAACATGATGTATCTTCCATTATATTTTCTGAGGTAAAACCAACAACAACAACAACAACAAACGACCCAGCAATATCTTACAAAAGTAGGGTTTGGGGGAAAATTGTACGCAGAACTTACCCCTACTCGGAAGTAGGGAGGTAGTTTCCTAGAGATTCCAAAGTAAAACCAAACATAATAAAATAGTTTTCATTACCACCTTTCTTTCTTTACCAGCATTTTAGGGGATTCAAACATAACCCCTAAACCCGCTAAAGTGATGGGAAATGAGCAGTCTGCTGAAAAAAGTTGAAAACTTACCCATCCAGTTTCAGCAAATTTACTGTAGAAGGAGCCAGAGGAGAAGCCTGCAATTGCTGAAGTAAGAGTATAAATGACGACCAAAGAAGTAGAGAGAGCTCCATGGTTATAGGGATATAGAACACCAAGAAACGACAATGTAAATAAGAAGCAAATCCTGCAAAAATTGAAATGTAACTAATAATTCTCATCGTTTATAATACTCCCTCCATCCTATAAAAAAATTTCATATATCCTTTTTGTTTATCCTAAAAAGGTTCTTCCTTATTTTTCAAGGAATTGTGTGGTTCACACAATTTCTCTTTCCCCCGCGCAAAACTCAACGTCACACTTTCACCTTTATTTATAACCGTGTCCTGTCAATTGTGGAACCTTATTCTGAGATGGAATAGTATAAAATAACCGCTTCCCTCCAAAACCAGACTACCAAACATTCCCTAGGAGAACATTAAAACAGTAAAACTTACAAAGCCAACAACTGGGTACCGGTGCCTATAATGGCACAGAACAGAGGCATGTTTGGAGGGCATCTGAACACATCGCCATGCAGATACTTCCACCCCACTTCCTTATCTTCCTCTTCATCTCCACCAGAAAATCTGGGCATATATCCAGCACGGAAACATTACATATAAACAAAGCCATGCACACTGGTCCATAGCAAGTAGCAGTTTTAGGGCAGCATTATTATAACTAAGAATCACAACGTAATATTACTTCCTAAGGTCATTCTTCAGGCATTGCATTAGAACCACGACGAGAAACCCTGTTAGGAGAAAGGTGATAACAACTAAATTTATGAATGAGAACCAATGAACTTTCTGCAGCAGGGGAAGTAGGGAAGCCTTTGAATATCTAACCATTCTGCTCTTAAGCTTAGTTGGGGCCTCCTTCCAGAACACTGAATAACTGAACTCAACATCAACCTCAATATCATCTGTTATATCAACAGTATGATTCGGATCACTAAAGGCATGTGCTTCAAGGACTTGATTGTCATTATATAGAACATCAAATCGAACATGACTGAAGAGGAGATACTTGTTGGGTCCTTTTCCATCAAAAGTCCAATTTCGGTCCTCTACTTTCCCAATGAATCCCCAAAATGGGAGGTCATCATAGTAATTTTGAAAGTAGAAATCGTTAGCGACAGCACCCCTGAATGTAGCTACCTCATCACTGCTGAGGTTCTTACGGCACAGAAAAACATGGGATTTATTCACTGCAAACTTCAACTCATACAAGGTGTTGGTTAAACAGTCTCCATTGAGAACCTCCCTAATGGATTCCTTCTTGTGTATCACTTGGCCTGTAAGTTAAAAACGAGAGGTTCAAAGCATGAAAGGCCAGAACAGAATGTCAATTGCACGCTTCATAATGTGCATTGTTACATCAGCTATCTTATGTGTTTGAGATGTAATAGTAAAACAAATAAGAGGAAACATAAACACTTCGCCTCATCGAAAGACCTACATAGTCTAGAAAACGGGTAGCTGGGGTAGGTACCAGACATAAATGCTTACCTGGAGAGCAGAAAGGCAAGTCATAGTATTCATAAGTTTCACTGCAAGAGAATAACAGGTAACAAAGGGTAAGAGTTTGTAGTCAAATGTGAGAGTTCCAAATGTTTTAAACACTCAACAAGTTAATGCCCATTAGCTAGAAAGATAGCCACCCATTCCAAAGCTCCTCAATGAAACTCTTTAAACCTCAACAATGTAATGACTCCTAATGAGGAAACAAAAACCTTCTCTATTTGCTTATGTCATCCTAAATCAACAACAACACCCCAGTGTAATCTCACAAGTGGGGTCTGGGGTGGGTGTATACATGCCTTTCCACTACCTATAATAGATAGAGAGACTGTTTACGGAAGACCCATGGCTCAAAGGACAAAGAAAACAGATCAGCACAATTCCACAAGAACATAAAGGTCACACAATTAGCACCGACAAAATGATGAAAATCCATTTATAAACACCCTAAAAACCTAGCCACAAAACAGGGCCTTGAAAATGCTGATGGAGTGAAGGATTTTAAATATATCTATTCTTATACTCCGCGCGTGATTGAAGCATAAAATGACGGTTTCTCTTTCTAGAAGCTTCTATGGGGATTATGCTGGGATAAGCCGTTAAGCTTCTTTCTTTTACATACTCCGTATAAAGAAAAGTACCAAAAAACATGCTACTCAGCAGGAGTGAGATCTTCCGTGCAAATTCCTCCAACTTGCTCTAACATTCTATTAACTCAGTTACTCACAAAGAGATTCTTTATTTCATTAGTGTTTTTAAAGATTCGCTAAATTCTACCTCTTCAGGTAGACACACTTCAGGTCTAATTAGTGGCACGTCCCATAAACTGCTTCTAGTTGGAGCCATTTTTATTCATTTCATCACTCAAACTGCAATAATTCCAATTGTTCAAACCTCTCAACTCTCATAAAACACGGGATTGGATCATCCAACTCTGCACTTTTTGCAATTCCCAAAGTGAACTCGTACCTTACAGTGCAGCAATTAACTCAGAAAATATACTAGCTACATTACCAATCCATTATGCAAAAAAACAGAAGGGGTTTCTTTCTGATATATCTTGTGCCATTACCCAACTTTACCTCAGATTCAAAAGCCCACCTCACGGGTTAACCCAATACCACAGGATATTTGATGACCAGAGCCGGATAATAGAAGCAGTGCTAAATTTATGGAGGAAAAAAAGAACCAAGGGTACCTGGGATTGTTGAGGGGACCCACTTTGTTGACATAGAAAGGGACTTCATCTCCTACATTGTAGCGACGATCGTTTGGTAAGGCCAGCGCCGTGCCAACTAATGTCAGCAGAACTGCCTGAAGACGATGAGCGAGAATATCACCCATTGGAATTGGAATAGAATGCAAATGTTGGAGAGCTCGATCCGCTCGTTGTATGCGTCTTCATTTGATACCAATTCTTATATCTCTCCATTTTAAGAGTTGGCAGTAATTACTCAGTTATTCAAAAAAAAATTCCTACATACTTATTTTTTTAAATCATTTTAAATGAAAAAATGGTGTGAAATTAAAAAAAACATATTAAAAAACTGCATCAGAAAGATCTATAAAACTAGAGGAGACATGACTATTGTATTTTATCAAACTAGTATTTCAACCCGTGCTATGCACGGGTTCGGGCAAAACAATTTTTGATTCTATAATGTGCATCTTGATTTTTATTTGGCATATTATTTAAAGGTCAAATATAAATGATCTAGGTTTGACGTATTTCTACAAATCTATAATTTTTTTCCCTGTATAAATTCAAAAATATATTAATACAAAAACTATTAGTGATCCATTGATTCTTTTTCCTCACATTAATTTAAAAAACCTAAATTACCGACCTTGAAATTATATACTTCCTCTGTCCCTGAGTATTTGTCCACTTTTGACTTTTTTGTCAAAATTGGTAAATTTTAACCTCAAATTAAATAAAAAAGATATTAGATATTGATACAAAATTAGTTTTATTTGATTTATTATATCATCCATTTTCAAAATATTTTTTGATGTACTTAATATATAATATATATTTTATTTAATTCTAAGTCAAATGTTGAAAACAATTAATTGGAAAATGTCAAAACTGGACAAATACTTAGGGACGGAGGTAGTAATTAAAAAATAGGATTCTTCTCATCCATAATGCTAATCTAACCCCCCCCCCCTCCCGCCTGCAATGATTATAAAAAATTATGATTCTTTCTTGCATTATTAAAAAACAAAATCTTAAATTAGTGATCATAAATCTCTATGATTAAAAATTTTAATTTTAAGATATTAAGAATCAATTATTCTTCTCACCCACATTGATTTTAAAAAACATTAAAATGTTAGTGCTCCAATGATTTTGTCGGGATAGCATTCTGGTCAAGATATAAAATGTTTTATCAAAATATAAATAGTTACAAATTGGAAATTGTATTTTCTTTGATGTGGTTGTAACCTGTAACTGAGTCTCAAACTTATTAGTTACTGCACCTTGGATTTTCTGCACAATTTTTCTTACTTTTTTATTATCCTAAATCTTCATTGTCACAAATCTTCTCACGCTCCCCTCCACACCTTGATCTTTTTTGTCACGATCTTCTTTGCATAAATTTGTGTCGTCTCATAAAATATCATCCTATGAAGTTTCCATGTACGATTGCGTAAATGAAAACGTAGAAAGTAAGTCCTCTCTCGTTCAAAATTTCTTAATTTTATTTATAAACATTTTGAATTGTAACACAATATAAGTATGTAATGAGTAAATTCTTAGTTAGAATATAAGATTATTTTGATTAAAATAGTAAACCAAGTTACCAAGATAAAGTATAAAAGTCTTATTAAATCTTTTTTCTAATTTGTTTATTTTAAATATTCAATATTTTAAAAATAGTCGAATTGTATGGAAATACTTTTATGTCATATCACAATTAGTCATCTTACCATAAACAAAACTTCTATGTAAGATATGCATTGAGTCAATCTCATATATAGTATATGTATTATCCATTTGTCTAAAAATAAAGTACATAATCATGACACGTATAATTCTCTTAGAAAATATAGTCTTATGTCTTTTAGTCACCTAATTATAAATTATAAATTTCTTTTTGTAATCTCAAAATAGTCTCTTTGAATAATGTATTTTCCAAAATCAGTGTTATTAAGCATTAATTATCTATGTAGTACTTTATAGTTGAGATTTATCCACTCAGTGTCTTCCGTATATGTTTGTTAAATGGATATTCAATGGGGGAAATTCAGGTTTTTTCAACATTTAAATGTCGAGTAATTTTTCAAAATGACCCTTTCGGATTAACCTTTTTCTAATTTAGGTCTCCGTTATAATAATTATAATTTTATCCCAATTGTGCATTTAGGGTCATCTTAATGTTTTGTATCCTTCTATTAGCCACTCATGTTCATGTTTGTAAATTTCGAATGAGGATTACCTCGCCTTTGATACCCCACTCTATATCTATATAAAATTTTGATAAAATTCGCGTATGAAAAATACGTGATTCGTTTTTTTGCAAATATTGTTTTGTTGTATATATATCCCATGCAAATATTTTTTGTGTTTTTTAAAAAGTAGTAGTTGTGACTTCAATGAAGTCAACAGTGAAATACCTATGATTATTTTAAAATGTTTTTGTAATTTTTCTTTGTGAAAACCCTTGTAACTATATTTGTTTTGCTGTTTAAAAATAAATTCATATCAAGTGAAAAAAAATTTGGTATGTAAAATATATGTGATTATTTTTACGTGATAATTTTTTAAAATTCTATGTGAAAAATATAACTATTATTTTAGAAGTTGAATTTAAAAATTTATACTATTATTTTAATTATTTTAGAAGTTGATTTTTTAAAATTTTTAATCAAAAAAATAATTATAGTTCTCACTCAATTACATAAAATTTCATGTATGTTCTAATTTCTTCAACAATACTCCCTCTGTGTTTAGATTTGATCTTCTCAATAGACTTTTCTTGTCAATTTTTTATACTTTAACCTCAATATATAGAACCAATATTGTCTTTCGGTAGAAATACATTACCAATTACTTCTTTTTGAAACTAAGGAATCTCTTAATGTTTGGTGGCTCCTATTTTGGAGATAAAAAATGCATTTTTATTTTGGTATTTTCTCCATGTTTATTCCTATTCTGGTACAGAGTAATTTTTCCAAAAAATTATAGCGACATTGTACATAAGACATATACTCCGTATACAACTTAAATTGGATCTATCCATATTTTGATTAAAATTACCACGTCATTCAATCGTTAATAGGTGGCCGGTGATTTTTTAAAATGTTGCCATTTAGATTCGCCACTTGTCGCAATTCTAAAAGATTAACTCTCAAATTTAATATATAAATATTCAGAAATATTTACCAAACTTTTAATTTCATATTTTCCACATCAAAATTTATGTGACATATTAGGTGTTAAAAAGAGGCTCATGAGTAAGCCACATGTCAGTTTCTTAATTACTCGAGTCTCATTTTTATACATAAAAGAAAAGATAAAATATTGCATATTTTTCCTAATTTTTTTTGTTCATTATATTTATATATTTGGCTAATTTAAACATATTCTATTTGTATGAGAATAATATTAAACATAAACTTATCATTATTAAAATTGAACTTTTTTCCTCAAAAAAATTACTTTTTTAATATGCACTAAGTTAAAACTTATACTAAAAAAATATATTATAAATTAACTTATCATATATTTGTGTTCAACTTTTTCTGCTTTCTAAAAAATATTTTCAAACTCGACAATAAATATTTTGATCTAGTTTTTAAATATTATATTAAATGTATGTGAAATTGATATAGAGGTGACGTGAGTATCTTATGTATTATTATAAGTTACGTTGTAAATGAAGAGAAACGTTTATTTGTTTTAAGTTCATTAGTCAATATAATTTTTAAAGGAATATTATATTTATTTTTATTTTAAATAAAGTTATTATAATAATAATTAGATCAAAATTTTATTAGTAAATGTTAAATGTTCTCATTTTTTAATTTCTTTTAATTTATTTTTATTTTTCTCTAAAAATGATTATTTTCCTTTTTATTCAATCCACTGATTTTTAAGCTTAATGGGAGTCTGAGCAAAATATTGTGGTAAAAATTATATTGAAAATTTTGTTAGTTAAAAAAGAAACTTTTCTTTTTTCCATTAATAATTTTATTTTATGCAATACTATATTTATGTTTTCACTAATTTTATTATGTTACATAATTTATTTTATTATATAATAAATTAGTCGAATGAAACTTCGATTCAATGCTCTTGATGACATGTATATTGAGGTGTTAAAAAATGTCCAGTCAGCATGCCACATGTCGTAATTGTGGAATTCCAACTCTCCTTTTTTATATATAAAGATGGAAATGGATAAAGGATTAGTGTTATTTTTAAAATATTTTATATGTTTTAATTTTACATCAATATTGCAATAAATAGAATCCCAACTAACTTAATTATAACATATCATAAACAAATACCTGCATGACATTGATTTAGGGGTAAAAAATGTATCTTATTTATTAATTGAAAGTTTTTTTTGGTGGGGGGGGGGGGATTGAAAGTTTTATTATAAGACAAATTTTTCCGCAGTCCTACGGTCCATGCTTATTTTATAGACCTTGGTGTATTAATATAATAAAAGAATTGTTTTTCTTAAAAAATGTTCACCTGCCGGTCCATGAAAAGTGTAATAAGGTTCACATTTCACATGTGGACCTTAGAATCACATTTTACCAAAATGTTGATTTTACGTTTTCTATGTTTCAAATTAGGTGGTATATAATGTGTTAAAAAATAAGAAATTTCATAATAGGCGAAGAAAGTATTTATTTAGTAGGTGTCAATACTTAAATAAATATAATCAAACTAACTTCATTTAAAGGTATCATAAACAAATTCATAATACTTCGTATATTATTTATTTATGAAAAGAAATCTTTGTTTATTATTTAAAAAAATGAATTTTAGTCCAGTCATGTATTGATTTTTAATTTTTTTAATCTAGTTATTGAAATGTATTGTTTGTTTTTTATTTTACATTGTTATTGAAATAAATAGAATCAAAACTAATTTCATTTTAAAATATTATAAACTAATACTTGTATGAAAACTATTTAAATGTGAAAAAAATCATCTTATTTATTAATCAATTTTTTATTATAAATGAAGCTATTAAAAAATATTTTAATGCATCGGAAAGAGTATTTTCATAAAAATGAATGTTTCTTTTTAACAATTAAATTTATTCAAAGATTTTATACCAAAACCTTGAATTCACATTTTCTATATCTTAAATTAAGTGATACTTGAAGTGTCATAAAAATATAAAATTTATTTATAGGTAAAGGAAGTATTTTATTTAATAGGTGTCAATATTTAAATAAATACAGTCAAAGGAATATCATGTAAATGTATAATATATAAATATAAAATTTATTATCATGTAAATGTATAATATATAAATATAAATATCATGTAATTTATTTATTAGT